CATTATTTGAAATCAGAATGGGGTAACGTGAAATCATTTTGCTTTTGTGCTCCTATAATGTCTGGCTCTAAATTACACCCCTTAAAGGTTAGTTCAACCCCAAAATGACCATTCTGTCATCACCCATAAGGTTTTGTTCATCATCTAAGCACTTGTTTTTTGTTATGCCAACAGAAATGTTACTTTTGAAATGTTTTTTTTTTTTTTTTTTTGAGTCATTTATGAATAACAAAATTGTTTACATATATGCACACACACTACCTGCAAAGTTGGAAAACGTTCATTTAAAACCCTGACTATGAAGTTTGCAGCATTGAAATGTTGATCTCATTTGTATCAACAGGTCTGGCACTGACATTCGATTATATGCTGTTAATAATATTGCTTAGTTTGTTACTACTGGACACAACAGTGCTCAGTCGCTTTAGTTTCATGATGCTTATATTTAATGATGTTTTACTGTTTTATGTTTTAAAAACAAAATGAAGTTCAGCTGACTTCACTATGATTCTGAACTAAACGTTATGGTATTAATCCTATTAAAGTCGAATTTCAACAGAATTTTACAATGAAATTTTAATGAAGACACAAGAACCAATGATTGTTGTTTTTGAGATTCATGTGACACATTTGAGCTTCTGCAAGAACAAGTAAGGTTAGTTCTTGTGCACTGGGTTCTGTTAAATCTGTCCTAATAATCAGTGTTGGGGAAGTTACTCCCTCAAAAAGTAAGTAGTTGCATTAATTAGTTACTTTTTTTGGAAAGTAATGCGTTACATTACATTTAAGTTAATTTTTCTGACCTGAATTCTGAACTTTTAGAACTTGAAGGGTATTTTTCTTCTATATATATATATATATATATATATATATATATATATATATATATATATATATATATATATATATATATATATATATATATATATATATATATATAAAAGGGAGAGAGAGAGAGAGAAAGAGAGGAGCTCTGCATTGACTGCAACATTGTATAACCTGCACCTTCATTTACCTTAAAAAAATTAAGATTAAATTAAATAATGATTTCATCCTTTATTCACCCTTGAATACCAAATTTGTCTGAGTTTCTTTCTTTCTTTATATATATATATATATATATATATATATATATATATATACATACCTACATAACCTATAGTTCCTACTATAGATGGCAATGGCAATGTCAACTTTTTTCCCACAACATACTTAATTATCTTATCTTGTGTTACACAGAAGAAAAAGATAAATAAAAGAGCCTTTTGAGTGTGAGTAAATATTTGAACTACCCCTTTAAAAATCGTCATTTGTGCTATGAAACTAAATAAAAGTCTCGCAGGTTTGGAATAAACCAAACAAAAAAAAATTAAAGTTAGGGGTGTGCAGCCCAAATGTGTTTAGTAGGCAAATTAAGACACTGACACTAACACACACTTTTTATTTTCCTTGTTAAGAAGGGCACTATTTGCTTTCTTCAGTGAAAGTGATTCAGTGTCTTTAATTGCCGGGAATCAAACTGATCCTAATTTTCTCCAACCACTGAAGTGCCGTCTTTCACTCCAGTTTTCTTCGACATGAGAGGCCTGAACGACGCGTGTCCTTCTCTCTAGATGTCGCTTGGGGAATTGCAGACTTTGCTTCAGAGAGAGACCCCATGTATAATTCAGTATATTTCTGCAGATGAAAACCTAATTGATCCCCAGCCATGGTAATTAAAATCCCGGGCTAAACTTCATCCACCCAGCATGAGACTTGTTAGCGCATACTTCTGGCAGTCTCAATCAGATTAATGGAACAGGTCTGTGGCTTCATGCCTGTGTCATCGCAAGATAAAGTGACTGGGGGGAGGGAAACGAAACAAACGCAGCTCGTCTGATACACAAACATCTCTTCATCAAAAACGTCCTGCTTTGTCCTCCAGATGAATGTTATTTGTAGGACATGATGAGGGGTGTAAAATAGGAAGAGCAATAACAAATCAAACTGACAAAGCTGAAGAAGCTGTGTTTTTATTCTACCTTACAATTTCACTGTTTATTTAACAACATTTTTCTTCCATTTTATGCATAATAAACAAGCATGTCTGCTTAACATGCTAGAAGCAAATGGTTTGTGTTCTACATGACATGGTTCAAGCTTGTTATACAACAATGCAAATAATTAAAAGGATGCTCAAATGATCTTAATTTATGGTTTATTTGATATACTGTGTTTAAATAAAACCTAATTTCTGTTTTATTCTGTAAAGTACGGATCAAGGCTACTATAGTTTTTATATATTTAATAACTACTATTATACTGTACTAGTACTATAATATACTATTATATTATACTATTGTAGTTAATGAAAACGAACGAAAAAAAAATTTTAAACTACAACTGAAAACATTTTTGTTAACTGAAATAAAAATAAAAACAAGAGAAACAACTGAAACTGTATTCTGTACATACAAAACTAAACTAAAATTACAGCAAAAACATCCTTTGTTTTCGTCTTTGTGTATGTATTTAAAATATACAGTATAAGCCTACTGCATGCTTTTTAGAAGTAAATCTATTTACTTCTGGTTCTCCAGTCAGTCCTCGTCGCTGCTCCCATGACAAAAACAATGCCTGGACATGACAGCAGCACTGTGACAACATTTAATACGACCAGAGCAGGAACTTGTATTAATTTAACACATTTGTGCCAAATAATGGGTTTTATTTCCATATTAGTGATCCCAATCGCAAACGAATCATTCTTTTTTACCAATCTTCTAAATTAACTGTTTGAACTATTTCACCAAATCGAACTGAATCATTTGATTTAATTGCGTCTCTAGTAAGCACTTATATACAAACATATATTCAGTAATTAGAACTTATCAGAGGTTACATTGAGATCAGATTTGAGATCCGGTGAGCTGATAATACTGTGTATCTGTGATTCAACAGGTGAACCAAACACAAACAGTACATGACATCCAGCCGGTGTTGTCAGATTGGGTGGGTTCCTGCCCAGTTGGGGGGTTTTGAATTTGATTGTGTGGGTAAAAAATGGCATAGGCGTGTTTTGAAATGTAAATGTGATCTGCAACTTATTTAGCAAAACATAACTGTGTGCTACTACTCTATTTACTTAGTAGTGACCAGTGCATAGCACAAACCGCGTGGGCCCACCCACAAGAGAATGTGAAAGCAAGTTGTGTGAAAATCTGAATCCCCAGACAAATCTGACTCCCCTTTGCCTGCACGCGCATCACGCAGCGCCTGCAGTTAAACTCACAGCGGTTTATCCTGACACTTATCGTTCTTTTTTTTATTTTTTTTTCGCAACTGACAGCAAGAACAAACATAGAAGCGTTGTCTGCTTGACAAGCAGCACCTAATTATGTTTAAAAGAATTTAAAAAGTCAAATAGGATGAATTAACACCCCATTTCTGAAGTAAAACATTCTCTAATCAGTGTTTTGATGTGATCCGGTTATGTTGTGGTTCTATGACTGTTGGTGTTCCTTGCTGTATGGCTAAAAAATTATGATAGTTAAAGTAACTAGGTTAATTTCGATTTAAATCAATTAAAATTAAATAAAATATGAATCTAATATTTTGGGCGTTTTTGTGTGTTTGGGCGGGTTTTGGATAGCTTTTGGGCTTGAAAAAGTCAGCTTAATCTGGCAACACTGCATCCTGCTGTGACTGAAGCAAACTTGAACAGCAGCAGCGCAGGTAAACAGATGGCTTAAATGAGAGGATCTGGCGAAACAAAAGTTTATTTCCTAACAGAAAATTGCAATGGAATTGAAATAAGTGAATCATGCTTCAGTTGGGTTGCCACACTTTATAGTACAAAACTTTTCAGATTATGTTTTAACTGACTCTAAATTATAATTGCCGAGTACATATTTTTGATTTGTTTAGTCAAAACATGGACAGATTGAAACACAAAAGATCCAGTTTGCGTTAATAATTCGAACTTCCCATTACTACTGTGTATTTAACCTCAGAAGCAGCCTTACACACATATTGTACTTAGGGCAGCTATCTTGTGGGCTGTTGTATTTGAATTTGAGAATGGGTGGATGGTAGTGGTAGATGGTAGTGTTTATGTTGCCTCTTAATACATGTTTAAAAAAATGGTTGAGTATTATTACACAATATTTATTCTAATGTTTTTGAATCTTGCACCTAACAAGTTTACGGAAAAAAAATAAAATAAAAATTAAAATAGTTAACAATAAATAAATGAAACCAAGCAATTTCAAAATATAAAAACTAATTAAACTAGTAAATTTGCCCTTTAAAAACTATTTAAATCAAACCAAAATAAAAATAAAACTAATGAAAAATCTTATTTAAAAATAAACTATTATACTTTTATACTATTAAACAGATATTTCTTCCACATCTATTGTCTGAATGTATTGCCATTTGGTTTCTATTTTAAGTTTAAAAACTTCATTAATCCCACAGAGGACTATTAAAATAGGGCAGTAGCATCATGACACAACATGAAAACAAAACCACACAAAAACCAATATGATAAAGAATTTTAAAAACACATCATTTACAAAAATGTCACTTTTTTCAACAGAAAATATCAAAAAAGCCAGGTATTTGTATGTTTATAGAATTATTAGACAACATTACCAAAGCTTTAACATCGGGAGAGTTCAAAAATAAATATATGGTTTAATAATTCATATTTTCCAATCACATCATAATATATTTAATTGAAAACTGTTTTTTTTTTTTCAAAAATAGCACTAAATGTCATCTAAAAAAAACTTTTTTTTAATATTTTGCATATTAATTATTATTATTAGAGAATTATTAAAACTGCATTTTTTTTTTACTTTTACTCAACTATCTGTGCTTTCACTTGAGTATCATTTGGACATGATATTACATGGGTATTATTTGGGGGAAAAGTGTTATTTGATATGTTTAATGAGAGATAATTGTGTCTGTGCATATGGAGTGGTTCTTTGTGTGCACATGAGCTGGATTCTTACTTGGACGTGTAGATCCAGGTTTGATTTCGATGGCTGAGCGACTCCAGATGTCCTTTTCCACTTGAGACATGCGCTCGCGGGTCATCTGGTAGGAATCGTCGGTGGCACACACTGTGATTTTATCCTGAATACTGCCCTGACCTTCCAGACGATCCCTGCCATCTCTGAGCACAACAACAGCAAAGAAAAGTTAATAAAATTACTGAGAGAAAAAAAAATATGTGGATTTGTTAAAATGTTTGGAAATTAATTTCACAAGCTTGGTAGAAATAGTCACTTTTTTTTTTTTTTGGAAAATAAACAATTAGGTGATCACCACTCAACAAAAATTTAAAGTGTGTTTATGAATTTTTATTAAATGTATATATATTATTAAAATGCTAAATTCTATTTTATACTTATATTAACAGTTTTTCACACATTATACTTTATATTTTGCACAGTAAGTTATTATTTTAATGCCTTTGCTTGCCAACACCGCATTTATTTAATGTTACTTTTAAATATACACTCATGGCCACGTTATTAGGTACAGCTGTCAAACTGCTCGTTAACTTCTATCCGCTTAGTAAGTGGTGACGTGTTGGTGATGTATGTAATACTGTTTCCTGGTCCAAGCCGCCACTCATTTGAGTTGAGAAATTATTCCTTTATGATCACTTTTTCATATCACACATTACAGTTAATTTTATATAAAGTCGTGGTGTTCACAACAATCCCTGGGCTTGCTGCATAATAAGTACCAAAATTTTAACAATTTATAAAAAAATGAATCACTTTCTGGTCCTCGGACTTTAGGAACGGACATATATATTGCGATCGTGAGTTTTAAAATTATTAAATCGCTTTGTAAATGTATATTATTGCCATTTCATGAATCTCCCTATATAGTTGAATAGAGCGCTTTGACTCGGAAGCCGCTTTTGTGTGACGTCACACTTAACAAGCAGATTTCTAAACAGCCAATTACATGGCAGCAACTCAATGCACTTAAGCATGTAGACATGGTCAAGACGATCTGCTGCAGTTCAAACAGAGCATCAAAATGGGGAAGAAAGGTGATTTAAGTGACTTTGAACATGGTGTGGTTGTTGGTGACAGACGGACTGGTCTGAGTAGTTCAGAAACGACTGATCTACTGAGAATTTCATGCAAAACCATCTCTAGGGTTTACAGACAATGGCCCAAAAAAGAAAATATCCAGTGAGCGGCAGTTGTGTGGGCGCAAATGTCTTGTTGATGCCAGAGGTCAGAGCAGAATGGCCAGACTGGTTCAAGCTTACAGAAAGGCAATAATAACTTAAATAACCACTCGTTACAACCGAGGAATGCAGAAGAGCATCTCTGTATGTCTCCAACCTTGAGGCGGATGAACTACAGCAGCAGAAGACCATATCGCGTGCCACTCCAGTCAGCTAAGAACAGGAAACCAAGGCTACAATTCACACAGGCTCACAAAACTGGACAATAGAATATTGGAAAAATGTTGCCTGGTCTGATGAGTCTCAATTTTTGCTGCCACATTCAGGTGGTAGGGTCAGAATTTGGCGTCAACAACAAAAAAGCATGGATCCATCCTGCCTTGTATCAATGGTTCAGGCTGGTGGTGGTGGTGTAATGGTGTGGGGGATATTTTCTTGGCACACTTTGGGCCCATTGGTACCAATTGAGCATTGTGTGAATGCCACAGCCTACCTAAGTATTGTTGTACCATGTCCATCCCTTTATGCCCACAGTGTACCCATCTTTTGATGGCTACTTCCAGCAGGATAACGCACCATGTCATAAAGCACAAATCATTTCAGACTGGTTTCTTGAACATGATAATAAGGCCACTGTACTCAAATGGCCTTCACAGTCATCAGATCTCTATCCAATAGAGCACCTTTGGGATGTGGTGAAATGGGAGATTCACATCATGGATGTGCAGTTGATAAATCTGCAGCAACTGTGTGATGCTATCATGTTAATATGGACCAAAATCTCTGAGGAATATTTCCAGTACCTTGTTAAATCTATGCCACGAATGATTAAGGCAGTTCTGAAGACAAAAGGGGGTCCAACCGGGCTATAGTATGGTGTATCTATTAAAGTGGCTAATGAGACTGCATTTTAACTTGCTAAAATAAATTTTTACTTTTTAAAATGTAAATTATTCATATGATATTCTGAATATTCTGAAAATAAATTCACTTATTTTATCTCATACAACTTTGTTTTTTATTAACTAAGAAATATTATCATACATCACTGACTTCCAGGTTTATTTAAGGGCATGATTTTGAAGTTTGGACATGCTAAAAACAGCACTGTGAATGAAAAAGGCTAAATGAGTCTGACAACAGAAATTTCATTGAAAGCACCGTGAATCAACCTGCTATGTAAAGACTGACATGTTTAATACCTCGCTCCCCATTGCTAAGTGTCACAGCCGCTCCTTTGTCTGCAGAGCAGCCGGAAAGTCAGTGACTAATTTATGACTAATAGCCTTAACCGGTTCTTGTGGAATTGCTTTGCATCCTCTTTCCCACAAACCAATGTAATGCTATTCTTCAGCAAGACAAGAGGAGTATTGTGAGACAACAAGTCTCCTTTGAGTTTCTGAGCGAACGGATCAGTGCCACCCTGATCAAGAGGCAGCAACTTCACAACCCACCGTGACGCCAAATACTGTAATGCCACTTGGGTTCAAAGGTCACAGTAAATGTTGATCCTAAAAAACAACCACCTACACTTGACACTAGGGCTGCCCAATATATCATTTTAGCATCGATATTGCAATAGGATCATTCGCAATAGTCACATCGCAGGATATGCAATGTTGGGTGTGTATTATAATGCATCACTTGCATATGTTTTGATGCCTGTGATTGTATAAGGATTTTAAAAACACTTGGGTATAAGAAACTGTACCATTTGTGACTTTAACTATGGTTAATTTTACTGAAATATTTTTATTTTTATCTTTCAGTTACTGTACTTGAATACTATTAAACTCAGGAAATGATAAAACACTTTATTTCAGTTGTGCCTTTTTCTTGATTGTATTTATAGATGGTTATACATGACAATACTCACAGCACATGCAAATACAGAAACGCACCGCAAGTAGCACAGACAACAATGAAAATGTGTTAGGGACCCCTACATTTTTATAGCTTGTTTATTAGATTTTATGGAGACGCATTCCCACTGCAGAATCATCCCAATCGATCTAACATTATAAATTCTTTTCAAATAGAGGTCGTATGGTGAAATTGTGTTCATATTAGGGCTGGGCGATATGGCAACAATGCAATCTTGATAATTATTTACCATATTAAACGGTAACAATATTTATTTAGATATAAGCTGTTAATGCTTCCAGATTTCAATAGAGTACCCCAACAATGACTAAAGCCACAAAACATTTGAGGGTATGTTAAATGGCATTATTTTCGACAGATACATTGTTGTTGGCCAAAGATTTGATACATTTCTAATATCAACACACTTCTAGATTCCCATTGTTGCACATTTCTGCTGTGTGATTGGCTCTTAGATCAATATAGAGTAAAAAAAAAAAGTCCAGAGCTTATTATTGTTATTGAAGGTGAAGGTATTTTTTGTATGTATGATTATGATTTACTGGAATGAAAAAGAGGCTGTGGGCAAACATCGAGCAGCCGTCTAGATGATTGGCACAATTTAACAAATGTATTTTTTTAATGTTTTGGACTGTTGGAATTTTATTGTATTGATGTAAATATACTATTTTCCAGTGAGATAATGTTTTTGAAGGTGAGGTTAAATATTTCTTGTGTGGTTAGTTATGTGTGTTGAGGTGAAGGTAAGATTCTCTTTAATCATCGAGTGACCGTCAAATGTATTTTTTATTGTTATTTGTCAGAATTTCATTGTATTGATGTACACTTGGCAAATGATAATAATTGATATGCTATTTCTCTGTGAAATATTGTTTGAAATATGAAGGCAAATAGTCCTTATGTGGTTAATCTGGAATAATGAAATGAAAATGAGAGTGGCCATCTAACTAATGACGCATTGTGACTGACTATGGGATAAAAGGGTGGAGTGAGAGGATTGTTTCACACACTGAGAAAGACATTGTGCCGAAACGTCTTTAAATCACCCAAAGAATGTCAAAAGAAAAAAGAAAAACAGTTCAAAGCAATTAATTGATGAGTGCGAACCATTACCTTTTTGAACGATAGCATTGACAAGATTGATGCAACAAAGAAGTTTCTTTAAAATCCACAAACGCGCAGGGCAAACTTCAGCACTCTGTTATTGTAATTGACAAATTTTATCGTGATTCAATATAATACCGTTTATCAGCCTAGCTCTAATTCATATTGAATATATAGAATCGCAATATTTAATAGCAAAATAAATAAAAATTTTCCAATATCGTGCAGCCCTACTTGACACCAGGGTCATTTGAATATTATTGCGATGCTACTGTTGTTCTTATTTAACATATTTATTCTGCATCAAGTAACAAAACGATTTTAATTGTAGTACAATAAAGTAATGAACAGATTAGCATTCAAGAATAAACAACTTCATTAAGAGCTGTTGTGTTGTGTAGAGCTTCGGCGTCGAGTGATCGCCGTGACCCACGATGCCGGCCCTGCATGTAGCCGTGCATTTATACTTCTGCATGCGGCTTTTGTTGCTCTGCAATAACACTTCTGAAGAGCTAGCTGGCAGTAGGTTATGTTCCTCTGTATCGAGTTTCTTAGCGGGTGTTTTGTTTTACTGAATAGTAGCTAAAATTTGTAGCTCTTTGGGTTATAGAAAAGTGATAAATAATAAATAAAATAAAATGTATTATTATTATTATTACTCAGCTACTACTTGCCACAAAATGTAAACATTTGAAAAAAAAAAAAACATTGTGAAAAAAAAAACTTTTGTAAGGTTTATTAATTTTTTTAATTAAATTCAAAGCTGACAGAATTGGCTAAATGGAGCACACACTAACCTATGTATTATTTACCTTAGTATAGTGCCAAAATATCAAGATTTGCAATGTGACATATAAGCATATAAAAATGGATGTGACTACATTTACTGGTAGTCAAGATGATTTAAAGTGAGCTTGTGTTGTTAGTTTTAGTGGTTGTTATCTAGAAATAGAGTACTTTGGAATGTGATGACTAACCAATCAGAATCAGGTTTTTAGACAGCCATGCAATAATAAGGGAAAAGCTTTTATGCAATTTTTCATGTTGAACTTATTGAGCTTATGTTTTGAACTTACTGCTTTTACTATTATTATTATTAGTAGTAATAGATGAAGTAGTAGTAGCAGCAGCAGCAGCAGAAGTAATATTTTTTACCAATATTATTATTATTATTAATTAATAATTATTAATGTTATTATTTACAGTAATATTCTTTTTATTGACACACTGATTGAAATGCCGACTGACTGACTATTTGCATCAGTATCTTACCCCGAAACAAACTGGTGAACACAATCAAAGCTGGCCTGAGGTTTGTCTTTACTGTCGCTGGACAGGTAGAAGGAGAACACACGGAAAGCATCAGGAGAATCAGAGGACGCTGGAATCTTGATATACTGTAAAAGAAAAAGTAAAAGAAAGACATTTCAGACTCGTGTTTGTAAGTCCAATTTAATTCAACATGAAATTTATAAATACACACATACGCCCCGCACAACTATACAGACAAACAGTTTAATTCCAAGAAACGGACATTTATTTATACCCCAGATGATCTATTAAACGGCTATTTTAAGCAATGTAAATTGACTTGTGTAACATACAAACCAGCTGAATGACAAGAGGACTTAACATCCGATATACTACACTAAAACCCATTCCATCCCTTGTATAACACACAGGCTTTTGCTCATTAATAAAAGATCTAGTTCTTGCCACTTGCATCAACAAAACGGTTTGTAAAAACATCTTTTATTCAATTAAACTACTCCGACTAGACTCCGAATAGAAGAAAAAAAGTTTATCTTGAGAATCAAAACCATAAAAGCTTTATAGATTAGAATGACTTGCATTGATTGGCTGATTTGATTGTAATCCTTAAATAACCAAATCAACCGATGCAAGCACAAAAAAAATGTAATAAATGGCTAGGCCTGACACAATAATCAATATATCGACTTATACAACAGTTCTGTCTGGCTCTAGAATCTGGTTGGCTGATAGCCGTGTAATATTCTGAAATAACGCCACTCGTACAGCCTTCTCACCCTTCTGTATTACTCCGCCCACACAGAGTTACAGCAGACCAATAAACTCACCACAGTTTGACAAATATTGCAGCTGTTGGACAACATAATGTACTTTTGAGTCTTTAGGTGAGAAATGTAGTTGTTTAAATTGCAACTATGCAGTTTATAAGGATAGTGCCTATTTTAATTATTATTTCGGAGATCATTGTGTCTGCATTTATCATACTGAGCAGAGCAAAGATAGCTAACGTTCCGCCACAAGATGGCGACAGAGACCGCATAATAAGCTCTTAGAGGAGAAAACTCAGTACAATTTTAAACTACAGCTGATCAAATCATTAAAAAACAGATAAGTGACTCTTAAATCTATCTGTCTCTTTTGTATATTGTAGTGCTGTATTAATACCATAGTCTGGTAGTGTTTCTGGTACTGTTTCCTTTGCTTTGGCTTTTTTGGGGTTAATTATTGTGGTATTCCGATTGCAACAGAGAAGTACTGGGAAATGTCTCTAGACTGATGGCATTTCATGCCATTCAGCCTTTTAATCTTAAAATGTCAGCAAAATCACCTGTTTTGTCATCACTTCAAACATTAAGCTAGAAAAAACTTCAAATACTAGCTCTAAAGTGACATTTGTAAAGTAGCAACGGTTTCTGCTGTTCTGACATCAACTGCAGATGTAAATGAATGGAGGAAGAAAGTAGTTCCTCATACAAAATAATTTTAGACTCTGTGTTTGATTTTTCATTTTTATATACATGATTATGCTGTCAAACTGTTGTATAAATGCAATATCACACTCGTAGCAGTGCGATGCGGCTGGATATCTTCACTGGAGGGACGCTAAGGCACTTTACAACGCACGTCCCCACCAGTGCTGATATACAGTCATATCGCACTGCTGAGAGTGTGATATTACTCATTTATCGCACAACACATAAAAATAACCTCAATCATTTATGGTGATGCACTATATATCACCCATACATAAAAATAAAAAAAATAAAATTTTGTATTATAATGCTATTTTATTGTTATTCTGGCATTATATAATGAGTGGGATAAAATGGTCTAATGACAATAATATTATCACAATATATGTTTGGTGCAATATAACGTACAACAAAAAATAGATATCGTGACAGTCCTACACATGGTATTTTAAAATGTTATTTTTGCACATCCTTCAAAATACTATGATTTAACTTTTTGTTAAACATACATTTTTAATCATTTAAAAACACTCATATGTTCTATTCCTTTATACATTTTTTGAAGAACATATGTTGTTTGATTTTTAAATAAATATATCCATTACACTGAACAATAATATAATTTTTTTTCCTCCACATTATAGCTATCTTGAGTTACTGACACATAAAATAAGATATTTGACAGAATATTTATGCATTGAACATAAAAAAAATATTATTTTTTCTATTTTTAATGTGAACACACAAAATGTGTCATCTCATCTATAATCCAAGTGTTTTTTTGCCTCATAAGCATAAACATTTGGTTTTCTGTAAAGTGTTGTCAACAGTTTGAATGGGTTTCAAATTACAGTTGAAAAAACATTTTGTAACATATGGGAGCAGCAAGAGTGTTCATGAATTTATAGCCGTCGCACAGTTACATAATTGCAGTTTACAGCAGATTATAAGAAACATAAAAAAATTCCATTAAGTATTTAGTAAAACAAAACAAAAAATCCTATTTCTGACACAGACAAATATATAGATATAAACAAAATGTATTGTCTTGGGCCAATAAAAATGTTGGCACAACAAATTTAAAATCCTCATTGTGCTTAAATTATATAAACACAATTGCATGTCCTTAGAACAATTGACACTTTAATGAGAGACAGTTGTTTGTTTGTTCTTCTTTTGAAATAACTGTGATCCCTAGGGGGGCTTTTTTGAGACATGAACAAGCAAGAAAGCCAAAGAAATCTTCCCCATATTCAACACAGTAGATGCTTGCTAACTATTAGAATACAGTAAATCTAGGCACTTATGACATAATTAGGGTTAGAATGTGGGTTAAGTTTAGGGTTAGTTGCATGACATGTAACGAGACATCTTAAAATAAAGTGTTACCTAATATGACAATCGTATAACTGCAAAGGCCACAACTGATTAATGTCTGCCTAATCTCTCTGTTTTAAAATTAGATAGATGACTATTTTGATAAACCGCTAAACCATTTAACTGATCGAATTAAAGCTGAAACTATTAATTATGATTGTTTTTATTTTGTGTGGACAAGTTTGAAATATTTATTATATTTGTTATTCATCAATTACACAACACATGAATATTGCGTTGTTCATATAAAATGTTTATTGATTGTCTTTATTGATTAATACAAAAGATAAAGCACTCTTAAAAAAAAAACAAAAAAAAAAACAATTTCATTATTTTCCAAAATTGCTGATCCCCTAGTTAAACATATACTATAAAAAGTCCTTAACCTATTTGCAAATCAGACAACAATGGCTGTGTGTGAGAAATGTGTTTTTATAATAAAGGATTAATGTATGAATTTGATCTCCTTGTATTTTAATTATGTTTATCTTCTAAACATAAAGTATAACAGTATCTATTTATTTTCATTATATTTAGTTAATGGAAAAAAAGCTATTTATTGTTAGTTCTTGTTAACTCGGCATATGTTAGACTCTGGATTTACACTATTAATAATAAATGCTGTACAAGATGGTTCATACTTAGCATAGTTTACATAGCAACTTAAATTAAGTAACTTACAACTAATGACAATTATTTTAAATTTAAAAAGTATTACCATTTTGTTTTCTGATTTTTATATAGCAAACCACGTTTTAACTGTATTTAGTAGTATTGTTCTTTTAGCCAAATTCTGACCTCAAAGCCGAAGTTGGAAACTAGTTTTTATGTTTTTTTTTTTTAAAAGGATGGTCCAAAGTTTACTTTTAAGGCTTTTTGGGGTGCAAAGCAATGTGTGCTCAAGCTTTATTTGTAAAAAATCACGTTATGTTTTCATACATCTTACTTGATTAAATACAGCTACTCAGCTTACATTAAAACAACTGTCATATTTTCTAGTTCCTCTGAAAGGCCTGCCTTCAAGAGGCTCTGATTGGTCAGCTAACATAATTTGCAAATCAGCTCCACGTCACCAGGAAAAGAGTCATGTGCATTCACTAGAATGCGCTGTGTCTCAGCTGTGCAAACACTGTCAGTTAGCGTAACTGTTAGCTGTATCAGTTTGAACCTGAATCAGACAGAAAATGAAAAGGACACAGCTGATATTCGGAATTAGCATGTGTAAGTTATATGAAACGTTCACATATCTTTTGTGAGTTTGCTATTTGAGATGTAGAATACACGCATAGAGGGACACTGTAGCGTTGGCGAAGATTTTGGGTGATTTTGGGTTTGACAGATAAATACAATTTGTAGCTAAATTGTTAACGGTGCCAAACAGCATTTCCCATTGTTTACATCCTTGTTTACTTTCCTGCTACAACATACCAATAATATGAAATGGCATGTCATAGATCAATTTTAACAAATTAAAATAAGTACAGGTTTGGGCTCACAATCCGCAGCTTCATCTATTAGTTTTAGAGCTATTTTGTTAGAGCTGTTCCTTTTTTGAGGAGTTTTTAGCTGAATCCAGCACTGAACTGGAAGAGATTCTTAGCGTTCTCTGCTATAACATTACAGCGCCTCTGTCCACACCCCTTTGCTGTGCAGGGTGTATGCGCGTGGTGAATGCATGTAACCTGAAGCATTTGTGATCTCACTAACCTGGGTGTATTTTGTCCCCAAACTTAGTTCGCTGTAGGCTGTGCTCAGCTATCTCTGTAAAAGCCAATGTCTCCCTTTGCATTGAACTTTCACTGCATTACATTCAGAGATGTTGTTTACGTTCAGAAAGCTACATTAGACATCAACGAAAGTTTAAAATATATCGTAGTGGACCACCCGTTTTTAAAGATGGTAACAAGTTAATTGTTTACACAGATGCTACATTTTATTCTGTCATCCCAAATGTTGTTCATCCATAATGTCAATGGTTTTATTTTCAACTGAAAAGAAGCTATGTTTAGGTCATGAGACCACTCCAGAAGCTACAGTATAAAGCATTCAGCTAGAAGAGCATCAAATCTGCACACTGAAGGGCTCTGACTGATTCATGCCAGATCAACTGCAGCTCAGAGTTTCTGTTCTGAGGCAACACGAGGGTCACGACTCAGTAACTGAGTCAGTTACGTAACACCCGCAGTCATCTGAGGCCGATCAAAAACAAACGCAGCCCTGAACGACTAACATCCACAGCGCGACCTCACTACCTGTTCAAAGTCCTTTGAAAAGAA